TGGTGATGATCGTGTTATGATTCATGTATATTCATTGTGATGATTATTCAATTGTTAGTCACACGAGCCTCCGGACGTTTCCATCGTTTGGTTCGGGGTGTGACAACATTGTCTTTGGACTAAAAACACGAATTTTGGTTGAGCTGTGTAAAGCTACACGACTGTGTAACCGTCAAGGCAAAAGTTACCCGACTGTATAACCCCCTAGAATGTTTAGAAATGATTTTAAAGCTTAATCCATTAGCCATTGACCTCCACTTGTTCCCAAAACTTCCATATATGGTTAAAACAAGCAAAACGAAACTAAGTCGAGGAACAATTGGAGGTCCTATAATAACAAATGATGAATTTTATGAAATAAAGTATGACTAAATATTTACCAATTTGCTTGCTATGCGTAATATAGTGTGTATTTATGTGTTTATTTATAAAATGATATTTTCTAAAACTATGTTTTGGATACTAAATAACTATGATGATTTACAAATGAATTTTCCTCATGAATTCATGCATTCATGTTAGGATGTGAATGATTTGCGTCTGTCCAACCAAAAACTGTATAGTGAATGACTACAGTGTTGACGTACGACCAAAAGTGTCAAATGACTAAACGACGGTATTCTAGACAATGTCTCACTTACATGAAAGGCTAACTACATTGTATGTGGATTTTGTGAGTGAAAACATTATCCTAGCTATGACTTAGGAGTTCCTTGCAATGTTAGATATACGAGCCTTCTGTTTTTGGATACTCTCCCACAATGACAATGTGAGACACTTCTAACTTTATGACCATATGACTCTTGAGGTTAGACGTATGAGATCGACTTCGAAAAGGATTAGAAGCATATTGTATTGCATATACTTTTTATGAATATAATAACGATATTTTGATTATGACTAATTATGATATTTTCATCATGTGACTCCAATGATTATTATGACTATAATGATGACATCTTGATTATGACTAAATGATGGATAATGGCTTATGAATTTATTTAAAATAATTTGTGGTTTACCAATGACCAAAGACTGTTTCTAATAAGTTAAAGGTTATCCCAATTGTGGATGATTAAGACTTAACTTTTTATCAATAGTTTTACAAAGGAATTTGGGCATTTCTTATTAGTCAAAGGGATGAGTCAATTTCTTTGACTTTAAATGTGTAAAACCTCCGTATTACTTGCTAGACATTCTTAATGTCTAACATATATTCAGGTCATAAGAGCATATGTAGACCTTAGAGAAAGACTTGGATTTCAGAAAACCACGATTGATGTAGTGGTTATTTGAACTGATGTAATAATGTCACGATTGTTTAACCGTCTAATTCACTATGATTTGAAACTATTAAACTTGTATTTTAAAGACTATGGGAACTTATTTTCAGAAATAATGATTTTAAAATGATAAAAGTATTTTTAAATCTATTTATACATTAAATCAAAAAGAGAGATATTTCAGTTTATTTGAATTTTGTATTGTTTTGATTTTGCAAATGGTTGGTATGCAATCTATCATAATTATTGATTTTTGGTAATTGTTATAGCCTTTTGTTTTCATTTTAGTTTGGGGTTTTAGTTTTTGGTTTTCATCTTATTGGAAAAAAGGATGGTGTCATCGGAGAAGACGACGGGGTTGCTAAAATCTATAATGGTGAATGGATGGGTGGTATGGGTGTTCTTGAAAAAGATGAGGTGTAAGGAGGGTTGTTCAAAACCATCTGAATTTCATATAGTTGATTTTATATTTAGATTCGTATACCAAAATCGTATATCTGAAAATTTTGTTTACTCACAATCAAATATCAATTTAATTATAGAAGCCAATATTGACCATTATGCGTATATTCGTTGCATTGAAACAGCCACACCTTAGAGCTCCTTGTAGGGCTTGTTGGAAAACCCGTTGTCGGACTTGATTACTCGCTTTTTGTTGTTCAAAATTTATAGTTTCATTTTTGTAATTTAATGTTCTAAACATTATATTTTGCATCAACTAAACCAACCTTTTCATCTCTTCCTTTCAACTTACAATCATAGTTATATCATATATGTAATGTATTATGACAATATTAATTTTTAATTACATTTGAACTCTTCCATTCTTCATTCTCTTAGAGCACCATCGGAGAATACAAAGGCATTTATAGTAACAGTAATCAAGGGTATTATGAATAATTGAATATGCTTTAGTTGTCAACAGTGATACTATTAAGACATATCACATTAAACTAACAAATAATCCAATTTGAGTTGTCGTGGGTGTTTTTAGCGTATTAAACGGCGAGAGAGAAGGGTAAAAATGGTAAACAACAAACAAGTAGTCATTAAGACAAAAATAACCCATTAACTAATTCCCAACAATCTTCTTGTAACAAACACAAAATCCGTAAAGCAAAAAAAAAAAAAAACACACAACTCAAAAAGTTGAAAAACACAAAATCCTACATTATTCCCCTCCCTTCCCTTCTTCCAAAACTTATCTCAAGTCTCAAGTCTCAAGTCTCAGAGACCTACAAATCCAGAAAAACAAACTCCTCAATGGCGGGAATCTCCCCAATCCTCTTCAACGCAGCCTTACTCGGCTGCTCATCAACCCCAATGGCCATAATGGCCTGCTTCCTAGGCGCAGTCCTCCCAACACTCATAAAACTCACATTCACATTCTCTTCCCCCAAAATACTCCCAACAGTCCCAATCATTCCAGGCTGATCAACCTGTCTACAAAGTATAATATTCCCTTCCAAACTCACATCCACTTCAAACCCCCCAACTTTAGTCAGATGTGCAACCCCATCCTTCACTTTCCCTTCAACTGTCACCTCACCTGATTCCGACATTGCACTTGCGAACCTCGACTCCACATTTGCAATCTGGACCTGGATGAATTCCAGCGGGCTTTCGGGGGACCCGTCTAGGAGGACCCGTTGCTCCGTGATCCGGACCCCTCGTTGTTTGGCTGTGAAGTCTGCGTTGACTAGGTTCACAAATACGCTTGAGATTGGCTCGATTAGACCTTTTGTCACCATGGCACGTAGGAGTCTTGTGTCCAGGTCATCGGGCCCACGTGCGGATGCATATGTTACTTTGACCGATTTGACCCCGCTTCCTCCTGCTACTAATTGTACAGCTAATCTGCCTAGTTTTTCAGCTAGGGTTACGTATGGTTTTAGCTCTGTCAGAACCTGGAATAAATATAATATATATATATATATATAAATTTAATATCGTTTATCTGGATAGCAATTCTGGTGAAAATTGATTATGTTATAAGTTAAATTGATACTATTAAATTTAATTTTTATGTTTCCAACTTAAGTAAATGGTTGTTCTATTTGTAGAAAAGGTAATAGATATATGTGTTGGGTTTGAAAAGCTATGAAAATGAGGAAAAAACAAATATACCTAGAAGGCTAGAATATATCTTTTTGGTATTTATAATAAGTGATTATATATGAGTGACTTGTTTTGGTTGTAATTGTCTAGTAATACTATTTAGAGTAAATTACACGAATGGTCCTTATGGTTTGGGGTAATTTGCACATTTGGTCCCTAACTTATTTTTTTAACTCGTTAGGTCCCTACTGTTTGTTTTTGTTACGCGCTTGGTCCCTGTCTTACCTAAAATTACTATTTTGCCCTTGATTTTTTAATTTATTTAAATAAACACACCCCCAACCCCACTTCCACATCACCTTACCTTACCTTACCTTACCTATCCCACCTTATTTAAATAAATTAAAAAAATCAAGGGGAAAATAGTCCTTTTAGGTAAGATAGGGACCAAGTGCGCAACAAAAACAAACTGTAGACCTTCCGAATTAAAAAAATAAGTTAGGGACCAAACGTGCAAATTACCCCAAACCATAGGGACCATTCGTGTAATTTACTCTACTATTTATAAAGTTACTGTTATAAAAAATTGAGTCAAATTTGTAAAAAATGAAATAAATATTAGGGTTGCTTTTAAAAATCTATAAAAGTAAGAAAAGAGAAAAGAAAAAGGAATATACCTAGAATATATCTTTTTTGCAAACTAGCTTCTTACTAATATATTTGGTTGGCTTTCCAATTAAAAAAAAAACCTCGAATATTACTTTTGGTGATAAAAATTATGTAATGGGTTGAAGGAAATCTAAAATATAACTTTTGGTGACAAAATGGTATGATGGGTCGGAAAGAAAACCTAAAATATTAATTTTTGGTGTAATGCGTTGAAGAATTAATATTTGCATAAAATATTTACACCATTTGAATATGGTATAATAATACCTCAGCAGGAACCATGGGAGCATTGACTGCAGTAGCTGCAAGTTCACCCCTTAAAGCTCCAACAACAGCTTCAGCAATTTCAATGGCAACTCCTTCCTGCATAGTGATTATATACAAAAAAAAATAAATAAATAAATAAATAAATTAAACCATTTCCTTTATAAAAAAAAATAATCAAAAAAGTTTGTATCTTTGAGGATTTAGGGGTATTCACAAACCTGAGCTTCCATGGTGCTAGCACCAAGATGAGGAGTAACAGTCACATTCTCATGTTGTATCAGCTTGCTATCTTTTGGTGGAGGCTCTACAGTGAAAACATCAAGTGCAGCCTGAAAAATGAAAATGAAGTACATAAAAAAAAATGATTTAGAAAATAAATATATTTATATAAAAAAGTACCTGTGCTACAATGCCAGCATCGAGAGCCCTGACTAATGCATCTTCATCTATGACTCCACCTCTAGCAACATTCACAATTCGGACTCCTTTTTTCATCTTTGCAAAGTTTTCATCGTTCAAGATTTTTGATGTGGCAGGGGTGAGGGGCATGTGGAGTGAGAGGAAGTCTGCTGTAGAAATGGCTTCATCAAAACTGACAAGGTCAACTCCAATGGCGTGGGCACGATCAGCTGGAGCATAGGGGTCGTGTGCAATTACGTGCATACCAAGACCTTTAGCACGCCTTGCGACTTCTGTTCCAACTTTCCCGAATCCCATCACTGCAAGTGTCTTTCCAACTAGGGACACACCTACGTATTTGTTCCTCTGCCATTTCCCTGCGTTTATCACATTATCATGATTCAGGAACTTTATGTAATGAAGATAGATGTCTGTTTGATCATAGATTTGAGAATTATATCTAAAATGGAAGAAAGAAGATAATGTTTAGTTTGTTATGAAGAACTAGTTAAGAAAAGAAAAGGTTTCTCAAGGAATTAGATCCTACACAAGAGTACTAAATGTATAGAAATGAAATAGATGTACAAATGTCAAACTTTTATGATGAAAGAATTTCTAAAAGGTTAAACAGGAAATTTATCATGTTTCATTCGTTTTGGAAAAGAATCTGTAGATTTTCATCGATTTAGATATAAATGTGTGTGAATGATTTGATTTCCAGGACACTCTACATCTACTTAAACAATAATCAAATGAAACTTGGAAGCTAGATCCAAATCGGGACTCGAGAGCAACAAGGCCTCATGCAGCACAGCCGTTCGACGAAATGCTAGGCAGAACATTTTTCACCAAATCAATCAATAAATTTAATGAAAGTAGAACTAGTGATGATAGAGTACAAACCGGCTTTAATCGATGCATCGGCCTGAGCGACATTCCTGGCCATAGCAGTAAGAAGCGCGATCCCGTGCTCAGCAGCGGCAACGGTGTTAGCCGTCGGCGCATTAACGACAAGGCAACCATGCTCCGTCGCTGCTCCCAGATCCACGTTATCAATTCCAACGCCGGCGCGTCCAACGACCTTAAGCCGACCGCCGGACGATTCAAACACCTCTCGGCTCACTTTCGTCCCACTCCGTACAATCAAGGCGTCGCAAAGCGAGATCTTGGTGCAGAGCTCCTCAGGGCTCAAGTTATACGAGCAATCAACATTAGCAAACTCTTTCAAAAGGTCAAGCCCAGCTTCTCCTAATTTTTCAGCGACAAGAACGGTAGGTTTGGCGTCCATGGATAGAACGACAAACACCGGAGACGCGCGGCGTCGCTGGTGGCGAGGGAGAGAGACTGAGACAGGTAATCTCCATGTGAGGGAAGATAGAGAGGTTAATTTGATGGGCGATCGAGATGAAAGAAGGCTAGATGAAGCTGAAGCCGCCATTGCTAGGGTGGTGTTTTTGTTGAAGCCCTTTGTCACCCTCTTTTCTAGCGAGCCTGTGTCTTTTTCTAATGTACGCCGTTTGAAATGGAGTGGAATGCCACTATTTATAAGTGGCTTAAGTTGTATCATGATTTTCGAATGCCAGTTTATGAGCTCAAAAGCGCGTGGGACAAACGGGATTAGAAAAGATCAGCAATGATCTCATACGAGAAGATATTTATCACGAGTTGCACTGAAAAAAAAAATATGTGGTAAAAAACTAAAAGGATAATAACTTAAAAGGGTAATATATTATTTTATTTGTATATATTTAGTCATTGATTTTTTTTTTCTCTATATTTACCCCTTAAACTTGTTAAACTGTAGTCCTTATGACCGGCTACTTCAGGTTAGCCGATAAAAATGACTTAATAGGGTAATATATTTTTCATTTTGTACACATTTAGTCCTTAATATTTTTTTTATTGCAAAATAAGTCATTTTTGTTTTTGTACTCATTCAGTACTTATGAATGATTTCTTTAGGTTTTTCTCGCGATATCTTACGTGGGATAGCCATATAGTGGTGAGATAGGTTGATGTGGTCCTGTTATATGTTGTAGGCCAAGATACCTGGTGCGGGTCGGCTGTAAGTCGTAGGCACAGAGGCTTAAGAAGAACGGTTGGGTTAAGGCGGCATGCCGACAAACCCTGAGTATTCCAGTCTGATGACTGATTGGACATATTGCATGTTGGCATTCCAGTCCGATGACTGATTAGGCCAAGGTATTCCAATCTGATGAGTGTGGGCCCGTTATGCATGATAATACGTTTGTTGTATCGTGTATTTTAGGGGAAACTCACTAAACTTTGTGTTTACCCAGTTGTTTATGTTTTCAGGTTCTATCGTTAATCGTGGGAAGGCAAATGCAGGATTGTACACACTCATCAACAGTATTGAGGATTTCACGTTGCTTATATTTATACTCTGATTTTCAATAAATGTATTTTGGAATAAACGTTTTTTTTTTTAATAATGGATTTATAAGCAAATCTGAACCGATTTCTTGACCAAAGCTTCAGTTTTTTGAAGAATAAAACCCCAAAAACGACTTTATGTTCAATTTTTGAAGAGCAAAGTTAATTTCCAGAAAGGAAATCAAAGATTTTTTAGTGTGTGTTCATGTTTATCTTTTTTTTTAGTGTGTGTTCGTGTTCATCTTTTTCTGTGTCTGTGTTCATCTTTTCAGATTTTGAATTTTAGATAATAAACATAATAACACACACACACACATAAGACCTGGGTATGTATTCTTGAAAATCGAATGAAGATATATGAAGATCTGAAAATCGAATGAATATATCTGAAAATCGATGTGTGTGTTCTTGAGCCAAAATCGTGTGTGTGTTGTTGAACGATGTGTGTTCTTAAACAAAAATCATGTTTTGATCTGATTCGAGTTCCATTTGTGAAAATGAGATGTTACACATAAACATCAACAACCCCACACACTTCATTAATGATTGTCCCACATTCATAAGTACTGAATTAGTACAAAAACAAAAATGACTTACTTTGAAACAAAAAAATATTAAGGACTAAATGTGTACAAAAATATTAAGGACTAAATGTGTACAAAATGAGAAATATATTACCCTATTAAATCATTTTTCCCGCTAACCTGGAGTAACCGGTCATAAGGACTGAATGTGTACAGTTTAACAAGTTGAAGGGGTAAATGTGGACGAAAAAAAAACTCAGTGACCAAATGTGTACAAATCGAAAAATATATTACCTTTTTAAGTCATTATCCCAAAACTAAAATACAATCACAATGCATTAATTGGTCAAAAATCAATTTGTTACTATTTTTTTGCTAAAGGATAAAATACATGTGTTTTGTCTATTATCGTAAATTTAGTCTAAAATTTGAAAATTTTGCACGGTTGTAAAATTTTAACACAAATTTTCCATTTTTAAAACATATAAAACATAAAATTCAAAATCATATTTTGATTAAAAAAAATCAATACATTTATTAAAGAGAGTTTTTAGTGGAAGTCTAAAATATTATTAATTTATTAGATGTGAGTATAGTCATATTTAAGTCTTCCCATTATTAGAAAAACAATCTGAAAAATAGTTATTCAACAACTATAACTTGAGCTTTACTGAGTTTTTTAAAATATCATATACCACAATACATATACATGTATACAAACAATGGCTCAAAAACTTTCGCCGCTCTACCGGTAACATGTGTCTGGACTCCTGGCATATCGTTGTTCTGTCTTTAACACGGGTCTATAGGCTCACGGCCTGACACCGTTCCACCTAGGGATGTACGTTTAGACCGAAACCGAAACTCAGACCGGACCGACCCAACCGAATAAGTTATTTGATTCGGTTCTCGAGTATCTATTTTTGCCCAATTCGAGTTTCGGGTCATTCGGTCTGGGTTACCCAAATAAAGGTTTAATCGGGCCAAAAAGACAGACCCAGAAAGTGAATAGTAACTTGAACCGAATAACCCAAATAAACCGAAATAACCTGAATAACTCAAATAAACCGAAATGAACCGAATAAACCTGATAAGGAAATTCTATATCTAGTTCAAGAAAAAAATATTAAATTAATATTTTTTTTCTTGAACTAGATATAGAATTTCCTTATTTGGGTTATTCGGGTCATTTCGGTTTATTTGGGTTATTCGATTCATTTCGGTTTATTTGGGTTATTGGGTTTAAAAGCATAGTGTAAATGTTTATTTGGGTTATTTCGGCCCTTTCGGGTTAATAACCAAACCGAAACTTGTATTACCCGAACCGAACCGGTCCCGTATTAGTATAATTGGTTCGGGTTTTGGTTCCCACTTTTCATCCAATTCGGGTTTCGGGTTATTCGGATTCAGGTCGGTTCCGACTCGAAACACATCCCTAGTTCCACCGTCAACTCTTCACATAACAATAATGAATAAACCATGTATACTAAATGCAGGCACATAGAGATTATACTTTCGACTCTACTCTATTATCTCATATATCCTAACATAAATGGATAGATATTGTAATACATTGTATAGTGAGGTAACTCACCTAAACATTCTCGGAGCAACTAGTTATGTAGTTTTGAAGGTAGTTTGACCAACACGTATCAACATATAATATATTTTACTAGTTATTAACCATTTGAGCATAACGACTAGTATTTAGATTCTTCACTAATCCCAATGAATATTGAGTTCTATCAAATAAGGAATAATCAGGTAAGATTATATACGAGGTAGGATCTGTTTGGTTACTGAGTATATTGTTTGGAAAATCCACTTTAAATAATTCACTAGATCTAGCCTAAACATCACCACCTTAAGTAGATCAATCAATATTATGACTTTGAATCATTGGTAAATCTTATTTATAGATTCATAATGACGGCTATAAATATAAATATAAGTTACACTTAAAGCATAGTAAATGCAACTTAACTTACAGAGTTTTCTTACAAAAGTTCGGAAAGTTTGCAGGCAGAACTTCGACCCGAAAGCTTCTATTTATCGGTTCTCTGGCGACTCAGAGCTCCACTAAAATACTCCAAAAGGCTAGAACAATTTGGAATCAAAGGTGGGAAAAAGTTAGAGAGGAATGAGCTTGAAGTTGTGAAAAATGAACAATTCTCGGCTCCTATTTATAGCTAGATTTTGAGGGCGCGTCGCGCCTGAAGATAAGAGTGTGTTGTGCTCCTAGCGTGTTGGCCCCATTCAGTTCTTGCCACGTGTCGCCATTGTTGGATTAAGGTGTCTAAGACAGTAACTAAACTGGTATATTCTTGTAATTAGAAACAAAGTCCTTTTTGGGTTGCCATCATAACTAGAACTTGGTTAGAATGACATTTGTAAAGGGAAGATAATTTATTAGATTATTATATAATTGATAAAATAATTGGAAGTTATGAGGAAATAATTGGTTAGTATATTATGTGATTAATATATTAATTGGAAAAAGAAAATTGATTTGTTAATTTATTATGATTAATAAATTAATATGAAATCATTTATAATTAATTAATTATTAATCAGAATTAATCTGGAATTAATTCAGGATTAATTGGAGTTAATTAAAGGTCTAAGGGTTTGAATTATAATTGTTCATAATTGAGCAAGAAATGAAGATTCTAGAACCCATATAGGCGGTGAACAAAATTAGTAGGGATTCTAGGGTTTCCAAAAGCCTCCTGGTAGTAAATAAGGAAATGATTTGAAATGGAATTAAATCTATTATTTAATTATTCAAATCTTGTTTTGTCCCTAAGTTTCCAAAGGCCCCGATATCGTATCTAAAACCTGAAGCAAGCCCCGAAGCCCTGGAATTCTCGAGAAGCTAACCTCTTTCCAGTCGAAGTGCTGCCCGCATAAAGCCCGATTTTTACTCAAAAACTCGCGGTTTCTTCGAGAAAGATCAGCTATAGAAACGAAACGCTGCCCAAATCATCACTTATCAAGTGAGTTCATACCCCTATAATCTACCTTTTTAATGGTTTTTAGATGCTTTTTAGGGGGGGAATACAAGTTGAACACAATATAAATTGTGTTAATAATTGTATGTGATAATAATCACACAAAGGGTTTCCTTATGTTTTTAAGGATTACCAAATACTTTCAAAATGACTTAAAGCCATATTAAATCTTTAAAGTCATGTAAACTCCGTTAAATTCTTTGAAAAATGTTTTATAAACTATTTCAAATTATAATTGCCAAAATCATGTTTATATGTGGATAAATATATAAATAAGATTTGAAGGGCTTAGGACTAATGAATTATCTTATTTCCTTTTCCTTGTTTGGATGTGGAGTTAAGGTGGTGTTATTTGTCTAAAGGTCGTTCCCTTCTTAATTGTATATATATATATATATATTATACATATATGAATATAAAAGGTTACTTCATTTGGTATCATTACCTTTGTATCATGTTGAGAAAAGGTGTTCATCCATGAAAAATCATGCTAATCAGATAGAACATATAAATTATAATAGGTATAATTTATGATTCAAAACTAAATATACAAGTATGATTCACGATGGTATACTTTTTATTCCAAGGAAATTACTAACAATTCATTTATCCATACCAGG